GCCCCTGCGCCTCTGGCTTGTCCTCCAGTTCTGTATGCATAAATAAAATACATATATTTTTTTGTAAAAAAAGAAAATATTCACAATGATATGTAGACATAGAGAACGTTTGTTTCAATAGAGAGACAAAAGATAACTACAAATAGTTTTCCTTTAAAGCAAAATGCTTCTCTAATGAGGATCTGGAAAGATGTCAAATCACATTAGAAAACCTGATGATTCATAAGTGAAAAAAATTAATTTGCAGAAAATTATGGGACTGTAAAGTTAATAGTAATCTTCCTGTGACTATAATAAACATACAAATATTTTAAGACAGGTGTATACATTACCTACAGAGAAGTGCATCTGGAAAATGTTGAACAATCTATTTATACTGAACATCTTGGAAATCTGTGAGCCCTGGGGGGATGGAAGTTGTAGAATGTTTTCATTTTCTAAGTATACAGTTTTAATATTTAACATTTTGAAATTAGGCAAATTTGTTCGAACACTTGAAAGTTTCTAGTAACCAACTGACAAAAACTCACGCATTTTTTACATTGTTATAGAAATATTCACATAATACTGTTTTATAAAAATAAAAATTTAAACTTTTAACTTGATTATTTACATGTGCATTTTGTGTTAACACTTCCCTCACCCCAAATGTTCACATACTTTAATGTGCAGATTTCTATTCACTTCTCTTTAGGCACTGGACTTCCTCTCTGAGAGCATAAATATCCAGAAAGGCAAGACATGGAAAATTCTAGAAAGTTCTGGCTGTTGCACTGGAGCCCAGGTTCTTCTCTCCTCTCACCCCTGAAGGTCTGAGTTTCACAGACTTTCACAGCTGCAATTCTGCTTCTGACTACTAGAGGTTGTCTCTATATATATATGTATATGTATATATATGTATATGTATATATGTATATATATATTTATGTATGTATGTATATACATGATTGCACTTAAAAATATTTATTTTTATTAATTTTTGCATGCAAGAACAGGGGTGCAGGCCAGAGGTGAGAGGGGTGATTCACCAGAGATAAAGTGGGGAGCAGAACAGGCTGATCTACTGAAATACCCTGCTGAGGGGAACAAGGAGGGGGGAGGAGACAGGAGAGGCCTGCTGGGTCAGAGATCATGCTGTAGCAGCTAATAGCTTGATAGTGCTGAGACTTAACCCTTTGTGCCACCAGAGAGGCCCTGTTTGCACTTTTTAAAGGAAAGGAAGTGACTTCGTTTTTCTACTGTTATCACAGTAACTCACCAAACTTGGTTGACTATTTCCGTTATACTTTACAGGGCTTTGTTGTTTGTTTTGCTTTGTTTTGGCATTATCTCTCTGGGGTGGGCTCTAACCAATTCTAGTCATATGACTATTTCCAGAACATTCTCTTACATTGCCCTGGCTTAAGAAAATCTCACATATTGCAGCAAGACTTTAAAATTTATGCATAAAGAGGTCACCTCCCACTCCACAAAGCTGAAATTTTTTTAAATTATAAGTTTATTTTTACATGATTCTGTGCCTTTTTCCATCTCAGTTTTAATCCCTGTGGGCTTCCCATCACCAAATCACCCATGTGCCATCACCATAGTCCCGTGCACTTCCCCCCTTCCCCTCCCCCACTCCACTCCCATAAAATGTCTCTGGTATATAGTTGTTCATTACTATTTTCCTTCCCTGGTCCTTTATACTCCTGAAAAAGATGAATTTTAGTCTCTGTTTCTGAATGATTTCAAACTTCATCACCTATTGAGTCTCAGCAATTTTGGAAAACTGGTGATTCTGAAATCAGAGTCTCCTTGTGAGGAATACAGGAAAGAATGGATGCAATGTAACAAATAGAGACCGGCTTAAACCGGCTTTCTGGCTTTCAGAGCTGTCTGGGTTTGCAGAACGAAGGAACACCATGTAATACAACAGATACAGGAGCTGGCATACAGGCTTCCCTTGGGCTTGTGTCTGCAAGTACTGGGTCCGAGGCCTCCTGATTCTAGTTGGCCTCCCCTGCATGAGTGGTTCAGTTGGAAACATTTCTCCCGTAGCGAACTCTGGGGGCAGTCGTAACAGGAAGCTACTTGCCTCGTGGCTCCCAGAACTCTTTGTTCCTTGAGGAAGAGACTGACTGTAAGGACTCCATTTTGTTTCGAGTAGCCTAAGAGAGTGGTCTGGAGCACGCTCTGGGGGCACCTCAGAAGGCTTCCTGGGTCTTTTTCAAACTCAGATCCCACAGATTTTCCTCACAAGGACCCTCTGAAGACATTGGTGGCAGGTCACAGCTTTCAGGCCACAGTATGGGTAAGTTGGTGAGCACGAGGCCTTAGTTTCCTACAGGGCAGCGGTTTCTGGGCCCCCTTCTCCCTCCCCAACCAAAGGATACCCAGCTGAACCCTCTTTCGGTGAGGGGTAGTGAGGACACAGGCTATTTTTTGTTCGCTTATGGAAATAGACTGAGTGGGCTCTGACGCACCTATCCCGGTTCCACACGGAAATCTTCTCCTCCTGTGGAACTCCTATGGAAATTCAATGTTCTAGGTGAATTTTTATACCTGGTTGAGGGGAAAAGTGAGTTGTGTGGTCCTCTCAGGTCTAGACAGTGGGGGTTGGGGAGGGTTTTCTAGGGTGGAGACTCGGTGTAAACTAACATTCTTCTGTTCCATATTAGAGGTATGGGGATGGGGCAGAGAATCTGCCATTAAATTTGAATCCTTACATCAACTCTTCCAGGTAGACTGCACTATAAAAGTTTTTGAAGCTTGCTTTATCGCCCAGCGTATAATCTCTTCTGGAATGTTCTGTGTGTATTTCTTATGTGCATCGTCTGTGCCAACTAAGTAAATTTATGAATTTACTTAAATTTATGTTTTTAAATCTTCTCCATGTAGCTGAATTTTTGTCATTTTATGTGTCAGTGTGTTGTATTAAAATTTCCCACTGCAATCCAATTATTTCTCCATTTACTGCTATCAGATTTTGCTTTGCAAATTTGGGCTTTAAGTTAAGACATGCATATAAATCTAGAATTTTGGGTTAACAGCTTCTTACTGCACTGAAACTTTTATCTAGTAAAGTTTTTTTTGTAAGGTATATCTTCCCTTTTACTAATATGGTTACAGCAGTATTTAGTATGTAAACAGTACACATTCTGTCCGTTTTTTAAATTAAATTTTCTGTATTACAAGTTTTGCATGTGTCTCTTTTAAGGAGCATATATTGCAGGGGTTTTGGAAATCCAGTTAAGTAATTAATATCTATTTGGAATACTTAGTCTGAATTTTTTATTTTATTTCTTTTAAGATTTATTTATGTATGTATACAGAACTGGGGTACAGGCCAGAGATGCAGGGGTGGTGAGAGGATTCACCAGAGGCAGAGTGGGGAGCAGAACAGGCGGATTGACCAAGTACACTGCTGAGGGGAGCAGCGTGAGAGACAGGAGAGGTCTGCTGCGCCATGTGGGTCAGTTCCCTGGCCAGAGATTAAACTCTCCAGATAAAGTGGCTGTGGCTAGCTTTATAGTGCTGTGCTTTAACCCACTGTGCCACCAGGGAGGGCCCCAGTCTGAAAATTTTGGTATCAGTACAGATATAACTTGGTTTAAATATACCATTACTGTACATTTATTTTTGCCAGTTTTAAATGTCTTTTCCTTTCTTTTGAATTGAATAATATTGTTAAGCTATCAAATTATTACCTCACTTGCCTAGATAAATAGCATTTTACCATTCTTGTGGTGTTGGCCCTTAAATTCATATCTTCGCCTTTTCACAGTCCACTGTGTTAGCTGTTTTTTAGCTCTTCAGACAATGAAGGAACCTTGGAGCACTGATTCCATTTACCTCCTCCTTCCTAAATAATTGTCCCGTACTTTGGCTCCATATGTACTTAACGCCTAGAAGAAATTATCATTGTGCTATGTGTTCAATGCTTATTTAAATGTGCTTACATGTTCGCAAATGTCATTATTTTTCTTTCCTGCATCTTGGTGCTTCCACCTGGGATCTTAGTTATTCTGCATGAAAAACCTTAGTTATTTCTTTCAGTTTGAGTAATCTGGCACAAATTTCCCAAGTATTTGTTCCATTAACATCAGCGTGAAATCTATGTTTTTTTCTTCAGGAATTTTTTTCTTAAGCATACTTTTTCTTCTATTGATATTTTTTATACTAACTTAATGTCTAGTCACTTTTGGAAATTCTAAATGAAGATCTCTTCAAATATCATTTCTCCACTGTTCCCTCTCCTTTTTTCTGAGACTAAGTAAAACGTGTCGGATATGTCCACTGTATTTCCTTGAATTCTTTCCCTCTCATTTCTGATGAAATTTTCATCAGTCACCTTGCACTTCTCTATTCCTTTAGGCAAGTGACTCATCAGTACCCTAACCTTATATCATAACACCAAACTTTCAGATTAGATTTTAATGTGCCCCTAGAACAGAGGAGGGAATTGGCAGGTCGAGATGATAAGCAACTTGCCCCAGGTCACCTCCTTGAATAGGACAGAGTACAACTAACATCACAGATTAAACACTGCACCAAGCCCTGCCCTCTGTGCATATTTTCTTCTTGGCATTTCGTATCTCCCAGGAAGTGAAACCACAGTGAAGTGTTTCAACCCGTTAAGCATTGTGATCTCTTTCTTTTTAGATTCTAAAAATCAGCAGTTGTTCTTCATTATCCACGGTATTTTTCCAGGAGTTTGCTGATATCACAACCATGTATGTGTTCTCAATTGCAGGGCACAATAATGAAACCAACACCCCACAAAGAAGACTGAGATGCTGGGGCATTTTCCGAAGGAGATTTAGCAGCTTTTCTGAACAAGTCAGTTGTGATGTTCGTTCTTCAGTTTACCAGCAGCGAGATGGAGATCCAGTCAGAAGTCATTTTCACTTGGACACTTGCATAAGATAGTAAGTGACCTGTCTGCTAAAATATACCATCCAGTGGAATGCATAGCCCTATTTCTACCTATACGGGGGTTGTTCCTTTTTCGAGCCTGAAGGAATGACAAATAATAGGCTCAAGCCAACTTTACTGCAGCTTGTTCAGTTGGGTGTATGAACGGGCATAGAAAAATTCCTGGGCATATGTGGACTAACTCCTTCTCTCTGGTTCCCCGCAGCACTCCTTATGCCATGCCATCCTGCCATCAGAGAAGCAGCTTTCACACACATGACCAAGGAGAGAACATGGAGGAAGAACAAAAATCTCCAGAGAATGTGATAGAGAGGAGCCGACAAAATAGAACCCTGGGGTGCTGGTTCAAGATCACAGTGAGTCTTGTAACAAAATGGGCTTAGTATGTAGAAAAAGGTGAGCAGATGGAAGAAGTTGGAGGGAGTTGTGTGGAGATATGAGGTACTTTTCTGGGACACAGAAATTTGGTAATCTTTTTATTACTAGGAGTTAACCTCCAAGCACCAACTCAAGTAATTTCTTTAGGACAATAGCCATTATTTCTTAATTTTGAAATAATGGATTTCCTAAATACCATACTTACTTGGGGCAACTTGGAGAGGTTATATAAGAGTAAAAGGAGACACTACTGCCAAGGAGAGAAAGCAGTGCCACACCTGAAGGTCAGTTTGACTCAAGCTGAGCGTGGGAAGAAGGTGAGGCTCTGGGTTTCTTGTCAGAGGGGGTGGCAGGCCTGCCTTAAGTGGGGCCTCTTGGAACTTTCTGAAGAGAAGTAACATATTAATCACCTTAAATTCATTATTTGAAGAAAAACCTATTTTTTAATAAATTAATTTATTTTCTTACACCATTATTAATGTGCGGGCAATATTTGATTTCTCCCCTC